TACCCGTGAGTCCAGTACAGTTGTGTTTTTACTCTCTGTCGTACCCGTGAGTCCAGTACAGTTGTACTTACACAGGAGAAGTAGTAGAGCCAAAGACGACAGCATGGCCAGGATTCCCCACGTGCCGAATGCAGCCGAGCTCTGTTGTGCCAGACACTCCCCATCAAGACACTTGCAAATCCTGACGGTCACGCTCTGCATATTCCCAACGCTCTGAAGATCGCTGATAATTAAAGGTACAGTGTACGTTCCCCTGGGCAGCTCGTGTACCGCTTCAAGTACAACGGAGGATTCTAAGAGAGAATTTCACACAAAGTCAAATGAGAGTAAAACACAAGCTTTTGTCAAAGCTGATGAAACGTTATCGACGGACAGGCGTCACTTCTGAGAGTAAAGGTGGACAAGAAAAGTGATTTTTTCACTAGCACCTTTTCTGCAATCTCACATTTTTAAATGGAAACAGATCGTCCTTCTGTCCGTTTTCCAACAGCTTCTTCAAAATCAGGGTCATGGGGGAGCCAGAGCCTATCCCAGCAAGCAGTGGGTGCAAGGCAGGGTACTGACAGAACAGGATGCCAGTCTATCACAGGGCACACCGAGACGCGGACACAGGCACACTCACACACACACACCAGGGCTAATTTTCCCAGAAGCCAATTAACCTACCAGCATGTTTTTTTGGACTGTGGGAGGAAACCGGAATGGAAACAGATCATAAAAAAAATATAAACGATACATTTTGTACAAGTGTTTACAAAATGAAAATTGACATTCTAATTTGACCACGCAGTCCTTCATTTCAGAATCACTGTATACCTTCATGGTCTTTTAGCCTCCATTTTTCATCTTGTCCTCCAGCCAAGGTAAAAGTAAAAGGTGCGGAAAATGGATCCTCATCGTTGTCCCGGGCTTCTACCTTCACAGAGCCCGGCTTCCCCGGCTGCTCGCAGATGATTAAATCTTTGGAAGTGACTTCTGGAAAGTTATCATTGACGTCGTCTATGTAAATGATGACAGTCCCAGTGGCCGACTTGGAGCCTACAACAATTTAAAACAAAGTTTGTTTCTGCACCCCCATTTGTGAAAGGATTTAAACAAAGAAATAGTTGAAGATAACTTTTAGAAGTCTAATGGGAGTAACCAAGAACATTTTTTAAAATAGATGGCATAATTAAAATTGAATGGTTTTACCAAAATTCTTAAAAGTGAAATATAAATTGATCCAATATGAATTCAGTTTTAAGACCTATTAAAGCATACCAAGGCATCTGGAAAAAAAATATAACAAACGTTGTAAGCCTCTAGTTTAGCTCCATTTTGTAACATTACCGATACCAAAAGCAGTTGAAATAAAGACGCTGACAACCCAAACATCAAATAGATCAACTCTATGAACAGCAGCACAAAGAAAAGATTAAGATTTGCAGCTGGATGAAAACCAGGAATTCTGGAGAAACTGAACCAGAACATTAAGAGCGAAGTAGGAGGTATGTGTATTTTCACAACTCCAGTCCACCAGTCTCGGGATCTCCAGGTCAAGCAAGCTTTTACAAAAAAGTTGATGACAGTTGACGATTTCAGCTAAAACTGAAAACGCATAATTTTTGAACCCTGTAGATATAAGCTAGACCACCGAAAATGAGTCCTAAACTGTAGAAGTACAGGTAAAAACAAAATAGGGATGCAGAAGCCCATTCGTACTCTCTATTAATGTCACAACTGCCATCAATTGCGTATAAATAATCTGCAAAAAATTATTTGGATACCATAGTAAGTGAACGTAACTTACTCTGGTCTACAGCACGCACAGTAATGTTATACTTGTCGTCCTTCACAAACGATGACTCTCGGTCTATTACGTTAGCAACCTTGAGCTCTCCAGTGCTTTCGCCGACATTAATCCATGACGCAGGATCCGACAATTTGTAGTACCTAAGCAGTCAAATAAAATGATCAGAATTTTCCCTGCTTTTGGTAAGAAGTGACAGCTCCTGGGTAGAGGGACTGCGGTCTTGAACTTTCTCCATGTGTAGAAATGGTTTGTAACCTCTTCCCGGCTGAGATTTCCACACACCTGTCAGGTGAAGTCCAACCTCACATTTCTGGATATAGGGAGGTTGCCTTCCAAACCCAGCCCCCAAGATCTATCTAATTATTCACACAGATCCAACTCTAATTATTCCATTCATGGAGCCAATGAAACAAGAAACTCATTTGATTGCTGTGGCGCCGTTCAAACACAATGAATCTGAATTCACCTAGGCAATACAAACTCCATCCACTGTACTTTTGTAAAACCTTACAAAAACTTTGATTCTTTGCCAAGAAGACTTGACGTGGCTCTGCTACCAGACATTAATTCAATTTCCCAAATTTGTATTCAAATCATACATCCAAAAAGTGACAGTTTTCATGCTCCACACATAGTGAGAAGATACACACAGAAATGTCTACTATAGCCTGGAACCTGAGTCTCAACATTAGAGGAGCATTACAGAACACGGATTAAATGAAGTTGTTTATATGTACTGTGAGATATTAATAACACAGGTCACGAATGTTACTGCTTTACATACTGTAGCAACATCTGTTCCAAGACAACGGTATCGAAAGTTTTTTGTAAGCATCAAGCAATACAGTTTGAAATCATGCAATTCACCTTATCTTCTAGCACGCTCTGATATGGTGCAGACATTCCCTGGACTCCATGAATTCTGAACTACTAGTTAATTAAACAAGGACTGCATTTCTCAGTTGTTAAAAGTGTTAATTATAATCTTGCGCATCAGATTCAGATTCAGATTCAGAACTTAATGTGAAAATGTATAACATTATGTGTTACACCTATTATTTTGAAAAGAAAGCTACAAGAATGTCACCATACTTATTCTTACTTTACTTTCTTACAGTATATGGATATACTTGTTATTTTTGCAATGCTGCAAGCGTGGTTACATAAAACCATTAAACATTTTAGTTTTCACTTTTGTTGAAAATGACAGCCTAAGAACTCCTCGATTTCTACAGAAAAACTCCCATGAAAACATCTATCCATGATTGGAACACACACGAAACTTAATCATTCAAAATTAAGAACATATGAGAGCATACCTAAGTACAATACACCATAAAATATCTTTAATAAGGCTTAACATGTTAAATATCAAGACAAGGTATATGTCCCATTGCAAAACCTAAACTAGCTAGATACAGCTGTTTTTTACTGGTTAAATTGTTCTAGTCCTGTGTGGTGGACATTTAGAGTATATTTTTTAAAAACATCTAGGCTAATTTAATGCTCAAGAGTAGGAATCTTAATAAGTTGCTATGACATTGAAGAAAACTAAGGGAGGATTAGATGTAGGCATGACTGCATTTAACATTTAATGAAAGCACTAAAATGTCAGTTTTATCATTGACATGAAATGTTCGTGTTAAGATTCAATGGAGCAGAACAAACTTACTTTATGCCACTGCTCGTTTTAGTTTCTGGGTCAGTGGCTGTGTACCTCCCAATAAGTGTACCATTGGGCAGGTTCTCTTTAATTCTGAGGAACAAGTTTGGAGACGAGAACTCGGGACCCTCATCCACGTTGATTACAGTGACGTCTACAGGAATGGATGCCCAGGGGGCCGTAGTGCCAACGAGTTTGGCTTCATTTTGAGCTGACACCTCCAACTTCAGATTAGGGGTTTTCTCATAATCCAGAGCCTAAAGGTGAACAAGAAACCAGCATTTAAAAATCAGTGTTTTAACCTTTTAATACTTTATAGTTCCTCTAAATCAAGTTTTGTTTTGTATTGCTATTTTCAGATCCACACTTCGGGTTTTCCCCATATGACAGCACAGCAGACCAAACATTCTCATGGCTTGTAGTATTTTGTAAATGCACCACACCCAAAATATGACCAGCTAACACACTTCATCGACAGTCACATACACACTTAATGAGCAGAACCCATGAAACTTTGTGCTTGTTCAAAACATGCCACATTTCTTAATTCATCCTGAGAAAGATAATGATACAAGGACTGCATTTTGTAAACAGTTTGGGCATCTTATTAAAAAAATGTTAATACTGAAGTGTGTTCCTGAAGAAATGTGGTTATGTCAGCCAGAGAAAAGTGCTTGATATACTGTACTCGGTACAACAGAAGCTAAATTAATCTTGCTGTGTGGAAATCTGGAAATCACGATGAGCAACCAGTGTACATTCTTCAGACTCACGCCATAAAAAGCCTGCGAGACATGTTCACTCAGTTCTTGCTAATGACCTTAGTGTTAACATTTCCAGTGTGGGCTTTCTGCTTTGGCTGCTTCTACTGTCAACTGTGCCAGATTAGCACAGCCTTGTCCCTATCTTACATGCTGCTCCAAATGAAACACAGAACCGTGTGACAATCTCTTGCACAGAGTGACCTTCACTTGAAAAGAATTTGATTTCTACACATCCGTCGTATAACAAGATCGCTTATGAACCACATTAAAATGGTATCTCTGCCTGTATTTTAATAATCCAAGTGGAGCACATTGTGATTCCTTGTTTGACCCGCAGTGATAGTTGAACGTTTTCCATTCATGACTGTTATTATGCTTTAACTTATTTGCACTTTTAATATTTAAACTTTTAATTCTAATTACTTCCATTTCTGTTTATCATCATCATCAGTAGTGTGTTTAGGAAATACACAAAAAATACATATACAGTATATATATATAAAATAAACTGTGAAATACTAACCTTTGAAACATATAAAAGTCCCTCATTTGTTTCAGGGTCTGTTTCTATTCTAAAATTACTATTTTCATTGCCCTTTGTGATAATGTACTTTGCGTTCCAGTTGGGAGTCTTCTTTAAATCCTTGTCATCCACCGGTATACGAAGAAGTAGAACATCGTTCTTATTTTCTTCAATTTTCACATTATACTGTCAAAGAAAAAAGAACGAAAAAAAATGGAATGATTGATTAATCTGAATGGATTCAAAGTCTTAAAAGGTCTGTTTTCTGCATGCTTACACAACTGTACTACAACCGATAATTATCAGAATGGATAATTAGCCATTAAAAAAGTTTCAGGTGTGAGTAAACATGTGAACACACGCAGTATAAGTGTTTCCACAGAGCGAACTAGTGGCGAGACCCAGGCTCTTACGATCCTACACTTTAAGCTACTACCCTTGTCAGCTGATCTGCTCTGAGCCCATAGGTTTTCCAGTATTTATATTCTGTAAAGCAGCAAAAGATTGCAGGAGACAAAAAAAATAGTGTGCCGCAATACAAGTTCTTTTCTGAATGATTTAAAAAGCAATGTGTGTTTGGAAGCACGCGCTTGAGTTGGGGTTTAGCTTGAAAGGGTTCAGAGTCGAATGGGATCCGACAGCATCTTAAACACAAAGCATATGGTCTATTGGATTCAACGTTCATAAAAGTCAGCCCGAGGCAGAGGAGGAAGAAAAACACCACAAATTTAAAAAGGTGTGTTCAGTGGTGCAAACAGTTCCAATGAAAATCAAGAGACATTTCAGACTAAGGCACAGGAAGAACCTCGGAACTTACGGAACCCTGCTGGAATGTCGGTGGATTGTCGTTTATGTCATCCAAGACCACAGTAGCAGTTGCTGTGCTGAACATGCTTTTCGGCTGCCCATCCATATCGCGGACCTCCAGTATGATTTCATATTTGTCTTTCACCTGAAACACAAAGTTCCATCTGAACGAAGCACAGAGTACCGATTCTCCTCCGGTACTGGTGGCACAGAGAATTAGAGGCGGGAAATCCGCTATTAAATATTCGCTACGTTCCTATCTAGTGAGTGATAGCGAGTGGGTAACTAACCTACAGGAGGTCTGTGGAAAGTAATTTGATTTCTTTTAAGACCCGCATGCCTCCAAGGCGATTGAAGCATGACAAGATGAGGGATGGATTCACTATTCTGCACCTTCCACAGTGAAACTGCACAAGGTGCTCCTTGCTGGTGCATCGACTTCCCAGGAGCGTGGTCGTGAAAGCCGCACGGTGCTCGCTCTAGACGCGGCTGTGGGCAGGGAGGAGCCCGGTACCTCGGGCATCGCTTCACCGCCTGCGCGCAGGAGAAGGAACTGCTCGGGACGTAAACCAGAATGCAGCCTTCCTGCTCGTGTGGAAGGGTCCCCCGCTGACGGTGGCATTTGGCAAGGATGATGAATGACACCGCACCTTACTCCGGAAACGCACTCGGTTCAAACTAGCGGATTCACGTTTCCACACTGGTGACTGCAAAGTGAAGGTAGTGACCCCTTCATGCCACGGCCCTGCGATGAGTCAAGTACGGTCTTCGAGGTTCGCCAGACCCAGCCAGCACAAAGTTTGTGCCATCACTGATATAGGTTCCAATGTCAGCATCCTATACGAATCCTAATGTCTGCATGAGTGATTTGGTCAGCTTTGCTAAGTGGAGGCGTTTGGCAAGTTGCAATGGCCTGCGATTCTTATTCTCTCCAGCTGAAGATGAAAAATGTTTCGAAAACCTGGCCTAGTCTGTCTTTGCCGACACATCACTTTATGCAAGTTCTCTGTTTTTTTTTTTTACAGCCTTATTTGTAAGGAACTCGAACGGCCTCTTCATACTTTTCTTTCACGCAAAAAAAAAATCTATTTCAACCAGAAACCTCTGGTCCTCTACTGGACAGGATTGGATCACATTTAGGAATTGCAATTCAGATTAGAATGAGAAGCAGAATTTTTATTGCCACACAACAATAATTAGGGGGATTTGCTTTGGGTACAGCAAGAGAACACTGATGGAGCAGACGTACTGTACAACACATGCAATCAAAGACAAGCAAAACGCAATCACAAGTCTCTTTATTTCTGCATGCATGAGATCTTGCTGACGAAGACAAAAGTGTCAAACAAACGGCACTATAATCACAGCAAGGACCTATTTGACATGCCTTCTTTCATACCTCATAAAGTTCTGTATACACTCCTAATGCCCTCTTAATCTACAGTATATACTCTTAATGCACACACTCTTAGAAGATTAGGTAAGCCTTAAGGTTAAATCCTGGATCATTCTACAATATACGGAGCCAGTTATTCAAATGCAATTAAGTCACACTGGACTGTCAGTGTAACAGTACTGTCAGTTTTTAAAGGTGAACTACAGTCCCAATTTCTCAGACTGGTTTTTACATCTTACTGACAATATAAATTCATCGATGCTATGGAATATGTACTAATTTAAAATTAAGCACAGAATCGTAAACTTTGTGAAAGTCAGGTAAGTCGCCATGTTGTCGCAAAACTTTCATTTGAGGTCCCACAAATTGCACCGTGATGCAGCCCTTCCTGCTCACTAGTCTCTATACTGTGATGTACGAGAGAGTAAGTAAGGGTTGTGCAGCTAACAATTCACCGCAGAAATAAGTGAATTAAGTAAGTTAAATGTCTGCCAAACCGTCTCAAATTTGAAGACGCTATTTCTGTTGGATTTGAGGAGATGTATTCACAAGCCTGCTTGTTTACAGTGTCACAGCGCCACATCACGGCACTGTAGGTTTCGCTGCCTCGTTCTGAATCTCAGAACATGGTGCTGAGCACACCTGGAAAATTTTCAGCTATTTTGCAATGCAAATTGGAGGTTTTAAAAGTCGCTGTGTACATCTTACTTTTATTGTGGTTTGAAATGCCGATTCTTTCTAACCCCGAGATACACAAAGAGCGTTACAGTTCCCCTTTACATCAAGCAAACTGGTGAAACAAGGAAAAAGAGTAAAGAGAACCCAGGGGGAAACTCACCTCTCTGTCGAGGGAACTGGACCTGGTGGAGAGGAGTCCGCCTGAGGGGTCGATGGCAAACAGGTCGCCCCCAGAAAGGAGTCTGTATCTTAACTTGGTGTGAAGTGTGTTCGGCTCATCTCTGTCAGTAGCATTTGCTCTTCCCACTGAAGTTCCTACATTTTAAAATGTATAAAAAAAACAAGACAAACATGGCTCATTGTTTCATTGTTCGGACTCCTACATCCTGAACGCCATCCATATCAAATCAAATCCAGGATTCGTTAAATTGTTGATGTTTGCAAAGAAATACTAGTGCACAAAAGTTTACTTGGAGCGCAACAACGCCCAGAAAATGACTATCAGCATTTTACTGGTTAATAAAATATAACATTCAGCAGTTGTCTCCACATATTTCACACCAGCTTACTTCTTTTGCAGTAAGTACTCCATAAAATGATCTAATTACTATTCTCTGTACGGAAATTATTTTCAAAATGTTGCTTAGACAAATGTATATGACTAGGACTTTACAGCTTATAAATATTTGAAGTATACCGTTTCCAACCAAACCTTTCTGTAAACAGTTTATCCAATTATTTTGCCAATACATTATGCACTGTTTTCCCTATTATGTACAGACATCTATTTACACAATGTGTCTATTTACAGTATATACATATAAATGTATGAATATCACTCTTACCAGAAGAGCAATGCTCAAGAATCGAATATGTAAGCGGGCCAGCAAACACAGGTGCGTTGTCATTGACATCCTCAACTTTTACAGTGACAGGAAGTGGCTGATCCGTTTCCTGATGAGTGCTTATACTAAATACCCGTGCTGTAAACTGAAGACACACAACACATCTTTATGAAAGGGATTTTCAGTCATTTGACGTTGGATTTCTAACTTCAATGTCACGAAAGCAAACATGTCTCTGACAAGACGTATACCACGGTGTTTGTGTACTGCATCGCACTATTTTATTTTAAATTAACAGCCTCTCATTTGTGATGCCCAAGCCCCAGACGTTTCCGGTTAGCCTAGCCCCAAGCTTGCCATGACTCCTGTATGATCCATGTGCTTCTGATTAGGGAAACCACCAGCCTCTATAAGTTACTCTTTGGATATCCTCTTCCTAATTCACTGCATACTCATTCTGTTGTTCCGTGTGATGTGTTGTCTGTTTTATCACTTTAATATGATTTAAAATCATATAATTCAATATTTAAAGTAGTATAATTATTAGAGCAATTTTGTCCCGGTCATTCCTCTCGAAATAAAACTGTAACTGGATGGAATACTTACAACATACTCGGCTTTTTCCTCCCGGTCCACAGACCTGTGCACCTTTAGAAGTCCGTTCGACTCCACACTGAACAAACCGACAGGTGCCTGATCCACTCCAGGCCCAAAGATCCTGTAGTAAACATTATTATCCTGGGCGCTATCGGATCCAATCTGTTATTTTACAATGGAAAGGGAAAATGGGAGGATTTTAATTTCAACCTTGTAATGATGAAAATGCGGGTACTGTTATGAGCTGGGTTCAGGATGACCTAGGGCTCTTTTTTTCCCCCAATTCTTTATAGGTCAGGTTCAGCACACTGCAATTACCGAGAAAGCGGAGTTCTAGCTAGCTCTGAATGTGTGCTGAGAGCAGTAATCATTTCCTAGCACACAGGTTTGTAAAATGTTCATTTACTGGAAGTAACGAAGGTGAATTACTATTGTGTGAAAACACTAATTTGGTGATGAACTGGACCAACTTTATTATTAAACCACTACACACTTAAGACACACTACTGACTATACAAAGGGATTTCAGATGATCCCCTCAAAAGTTACTAAAAAATCATTTCAGATATTAGAAAATTAATATCCCTGATCAGGACAATATTCCCAATTCCATTCGCGGAAATATTAAAAATAAGTTTAATAAAGACTGTTTACAATTTGAAAAGCTAAAAGGAATCCACTAACGTGTTTGAAAGCAGAAAAAAGAAGAATATATTATTAATTGAAATAAAAGGTCAATTATGTAGGAAGAGACTAGCTGCAACCAAACTAGAGGTATTGGGAACCCCCGCTCTAAAAAATGTAAACCTACACTTAGAAACTTAAAAAACACTACGGCCGAATGACAAAAAGACTTTCAAGTAACGAACACAACTAAACAAGTGACAATAACTCAACTGTGTGAGGGACTCTTTTTGACTTTTATTATACATAATTACATACAATAAAATAACACGTTTTATCATCATGGATTAGTTACCATTTCAATGTTTTTTGGGAATGGAGGCATCTCGTTTTCTTTTATGTTGAAGGGCAGGGGACTCCATCGTCTTTTAGTGCGCCTTAGGGTTTTGTTGCTGGGTACCTTCAAAATGAAAGAGAACAGCAGCTCTTTAAAAACACAAAGGAACCAATGTTGTCATCTGTAAATATTTCTTTTTTAAGTTTTAAGTAATAACTAATAAGGCAAAGAATTGACTGTCCCTTCGGGATCTAATCTGGCAACATGTAGTTCAATTCTTTGCCACAACAGAGTCCAGTTCTGATGTCCCTAGCCTGTTCTGCTATCAGTACAAGATCTGTAACCATCTGTATTCCACACACAATAGCTACTAGATTTCTACTGATAAACCTGAACTAGTTACAAGAAGAAAAAAACCAATCTGGTGCTCAAATATTGTTTCTTCAGGCTATTTTTGCATTTACGTCTATGAAACGTTCTTATGATGGAATAGCTAAAGGCAAAGAAAGGAGACAACATTTTGGCTATGGAGCATTCTTCAGCTGTGAAGAAGCACAAAACACGATTGTGTCACTTCTCTTTTCAGCATGGAATAAACCTTTACCTGTTCCTTTGCAGCCTACTCAGGCTGACACCGCTACCTAATTCACTTTTTATGCTAACGTGGTGATAAAACAGTGTTAATTTAGTCAACGTAAATGCTGATGAAAATGTTCGTCAGCGACCTGTTTTTCATGGTAATTAACGAAGACGAAACGCTCACGTACTGTAAGTAATCTGCCAGGACGAAGACTACACTGCTTTGTATCTTTTGTTTGAGTGCAACAAGACGAGACGCATGACCCGTTTGAAACTCATACTGAAATGAGACGTGTCACATGAGGTTCGCCGTTTGCACAGTCCCTTTCTGTCTGGCCCGTAGCGGGCTGGCTGTGACGGGCATACTGTAATTCTAGGGCTGCGCGGTGCCTCAGGGCCGCTACAGGGCGAGAGTCGGAAGTAGAGGCGTTTGCCGTTTTCTCTGCTCTCTTGTTCTCCGACTGTCCCTCATCTCCAGCCGGTCTTTTCGCACACCTCATGTCACCAATTCTAACACAATGCGATGTGTACGCCATACTAATTGGATTAAATATTTAAACCTGGTTAAGGAAAAACAAAAGCCGCGAAGATGCAAGAAACGCTTGTGCTTCTCCGTGCTTTTCAGCGGGAACAGAAAGAACTGGAGTCTAGCAGAACTTTAAATAGAACGAGCAAACCAGAAAAAGCTACTGTAAAACAATACTGAAAATAAACCTAAAATACATTAAAAATTGAAAACTACAAAAAAAAAGATGTTAGTCAACAAACTTAAAAAAATGGCAATTTTATAGTTTGCGTTTTAGGAATTGACTTTTTTTCTCTTGGCTAGAATTAATGTATAGGAAGTTATTCTTTTAAAATGCTACATGCACTGCATTTCAGCTTCGCAATGGCGCTCTGTTAGAAATGTGATTCTTGATCATGTTTTATTTTCAAAATGCTAAGCAGCATATAATAGTGTAACGCTTACGGCCGACAAGCACTGTGTGTAAGTAGCAATCTGAAAACAATGTTCTTTACATGCAGTTTGTTTATAGCGCTGGGTGCTCAGCTAAGGGAGAAAGTATGATCGTAGAGCCAACATCTTATAGCGCGTACAGACATTTATTTCTCATTTACTCATTTCTTCAGAAGAGGGCGTGTGGAGCGAAAATGCTTCAACAGACCCGAAGCACAGGACTAGCAACAGTGTTAGCATGATACTGGCACGACGTCATTAGCACCCAGACTTTATATTACTTCTCCAGTCCGGTGGTAATAGTTTCTCATGCAGCAATTTCCCTATAGTTATTGGCAGTATTGGCAGGAGCCTCTGCTGAATACATCTGCAATAATACTGCTTTGAAACTATGAAAACAAAGTTACTTCGAAAAAAGTACTGTAACTATACATAAAACCTGTATAAAAGTAAAGAATTATTATGAACAGTGCCAAAATAGATTTTCCTAGGAAAGATTCATATGATGTCTCTTTATAAGCCAAGATTGTTTATTATGGTTAATTGCAGTATGAATCATGACACTTTTTTTTTCTTGTATTTGATATTTGACCTTTCCGGGGATCAATACACTTGAGATTGTGTAACGAACTCTTACGCTTTTCGACAGAATCTTATCAGATGTGTTAAATGTGTTCTTAGAAAACCATTTTATAATACCTTTATACATTTTATTAGACAAATAAATCAAACTGCTGGACTAAAATGTGACAAAAACTAATTCTATTTTAGTAGACTAAACGTAAGACTAGTTATTGTCAAAATTTAGTCGATTTAACTAAATTAAAAGTGGGTGACTAGAAAGTGACTATGACTAATAGACACTTTAGTCAACTTGACTAAGATTATGACTAAATCAAAACTGGTGACACAATTGACATTGGTGATAAAGTATATAAAAATGTCATGAAGTATAATTGTGTATTAACATTTAATTTAAAAAAGCACAGCGAAGGCAAAAAATCTTACAAACCAGACAAAATGGTTCATGTTTAATTTAATTTAGACTATCAAAAGATGTCAGTTCTGAATTAGGAGGCAAAGGTGTAAAATGCTCAAACAAAATATGTTAAATTCCAGAATAATTATGAAAATGTTTATGAATTAATAACAAAAAATAGCACTGCGCAGTTTGTGATGCATACACATCAGTTTACACTACATTTTGTGCTGGTACTGACCAGCTTCTTGTTGTCAAATCATCAGAAACAGTTAATCACATTTCTAAACAAAAAGAAATACAGTAAATGGCACCCAAGCAGCGACCACAAACTCAAGTACCTAAAAGATACAACTGAGTTCCATTAACTGAAAACTGCTTCACCCAAACACCGAGAACGGAGAGGACAGTTAAGCTTTTGCCTGCTCTGGGACAAGGCAGTCATGCAGCATTTAAATGATTAATATCCTTCATTTCTACCTCTCCTAAAGGGCTTTCCAATGAAATGAATTGGGAAAAACCAGAACCACAGTTTAGGTGCCTAGATCAAGCCCATAAATCCAGGATTATTTTAATCCAGCCCAGTTTGCCTTTGGCCATTCAGTAGAAATCTGAAAACCATTTCCATCAGATCCACATCACACATTCCTCCATTCAGCGGCACTGGTTTCAGACAGCCTACCTCCTTGGGTTCCGCAGACAGTGTGACGTACACCTTCCCCTTCTGTCCCGGTTCCTGGCCCTCCACCCGGATCAGGAAGGCCCTCCCTTCGGAGGGGATCCTGGTGTTCTGAAGAGCGCTTATGGTCCCGTCCGCCTGAACCGCGAAGTCCGGGTCGCTCGTCGTCAAGCGCAGCTCCTTGTTAACACACCGCCCCAAGTCAACTGAAGGTGTGAAAGAAAGGGGGGAGGAGAGATGGACAGCGCCTTTTAATTTTATCGCCTACCAAAATAAAATCGACTAAACACCCAGGAGACGAGGGACAGCCTCAGGTACCGATCTGTTCATCAATAATGGATAGGGAGGTGGATAGGGCCCATCCTACTTTAATTACAGCAACAATCATCTTCACAAAAGCAAGAGAGTAACTCACAACCATGACCTTCGACCTTTTATGGCCAGGTACGGTATTTGCATAAGATATCTGTAGGGAACGTTTCCAGTTTTTGTTTTTTTTTAAGACGTGGAAATGTTCCACATCGGCTGTACTCCAGAAAGCTGCACGGCTGCCATCAAGTCGTTTGGAAAACGTAATTATCTTCTCGACACGCAAGATGCCGGAAAAGACATTTTGCTGAGGATTTCACCCACAATGTATAAAGGCCCCCCATTGCTAGCGGTAACAGCTGCAAATATGCGAGGTTTCAGTCACGTAATGGAGCGTTAAATATCCAGTCAGTCCCAGCTGTCAGAGGTCAATCTGGTTATTTTATCACTCTGCTATCATCATTTCAATGGAGTTATAATCTGTCAGCCTGGAACGCTGATACATCGAAATCGGCTGTTCCTCACCCACGATCCACAGCCCCGGGGCACATGCTTGACACCGAAACATGAATAATTACCGTCACATAGAGCACTTTTTGAAACTTTCTCATCTTACACAACGATTCCCAATGGAGGGAAGAAGAGTTGAAAGTTTTAACGTCCGCAGACGTCTCACTGAACTAACTGCGGTGAAATGCCAGCCCTGGGCAGTCTGGCAGTTCCCTCCACGATTTCAAAATGAACGTTTCTCTGCACACCAGCTTCCCAAACGGCTGCACACTCTATTTGCAGTCCTGTGATCGGAGGTCAAATCCGCAGCAAGCCTTCGGCTTTAAAAACAGACTCAGAGTCCCCATACTGCTGTTGTAGGAGCTACAAACAGTGAAAGTCTTTTCATTTCCTAGTATTCCTTTAAATTATATAAAGGAGAGATGTAGCTGTAAGAAACCATTCTAGTTTTTAAATATAATAATCTGGTAAAAGCTAGTTTTATATTTGGCAGAGGTGAAGAAACAGCAATTCTTCTGCACTGCCCAACCTGTTAATTATTAACAGTTCTCAAAATAAAGATGCAGAATTATTTGCATTACCTTTAGAGACGATATATCCCATCTTTATTTCCTCGGGCACTGTTGCATGTAGGGTAGCTGGAAGGCAATAATCCTCAGACACAGCAACCACCTACAGAAAGGTTAGGTATCGAAAACATTATTTAATAAATCCGTTTCGTGAATTCGCAGGGGCTTTCAACAACTGTGTGCTAAGGCAAGAACCTTCCAAGCAAAATGGTGCAAGTTAAGTGCTTAAAGCGCTCTTTTACATCGCAATCCTAGAATCACTGGAACAAATACAAGAAAAGGTGATGCTTTAGAAGTATTACGAAAGAAGGACAAAGGGCTAGAAGGTTTTTTTCCTGACCAATGGAAATCTATTCTAGAAAACCTGCTCTCATATGACTTTTCAAACTGTATCACACTACCAGATGTAAATGCATGCTAGATATTAATGAATTAGTAGACTTCTAGAGTTAGTAGTGGCACAGTCACAAATGACAGCACAGAAGCACAAACTGCAACAGGAAAAGAGGATCCTCCAGTGTTCTTAGTAGCAAAACTCATACAGAAATTTTTACTTTAAGTAGCAGCAGTGACGAATTGAGTGATAGGCATGGCAGCCCTAACAATTTATACGAGAGATACGCCTTTCATGAGCTACGACAACGGGTTCGAAACGATCATGGCGATTTCCAGCACACACTGAACTAATTGGACTTCATATCGACTGCTTTCTACGTGACTGAATTATAGGTGTAACTCACATTCTTCCCAGAAGGTACAATGTTATGCTGTATTAAAATCCTTAATTTGCCTTCGGAGATTATGACCGCGATCTGTGCAGCCTGCCTTTAATCAGGGCAACGGACTGGGTTCTGATTAAATCCTGCTGCCAGTGTGAAATGCCCGTCACTGGACAGGGCAAGCCTGGAGCAGTGACTCATTCAGGGGTGCAGACATCTAAGCGAGGTGAAGAGGTTGAGGTGGGAACCTTTTTCCAGCAAAGCCTGCAGCAGACTTGTTGCACAAAGGATGAGATCATGTCATCCTGCAGACAGGAGGCAATCTCATTCCTGACTCAGCACACGGTATACATTGTGCATTCACACAGAACACAGGCGTTGTTCTGAAAGCATTATTTTGAGCTTATCATCATTATGCAGCCCCACTTTTACTTTCAAAGAACATAAAGGTTACAAAAAGAAATGGGATTTTGTCTAGGGCTTTGGGTTACGAGAACCTACACAAACTGATTCAAGCGTCTCTTCCAGTCCTTTCCCGGAGTAAGGAAAGTTCCTCAAGAACACGGCCCCACAGCAGTTCCATGTTCGCACAAGCCTTTGTGTGAAACACTTGCACTGACGCTCAATTTCTACTCTTTTCTCATTTGCGAGTGGCGATCAAGGGCACCGGTTTCCATGAAAACACTGCATACTTTGTAGAAAATACCACAGGAAGGAAAATGGATCTCTCCAACGTACTAGGAGGAACGTAATCCTAGTTCCTTTGTTGTAATGCGAATGCCACTGTATCAAAGAAGTTGGGCGTTCAACGTTTGCTGTGAGCTTCTGGGTCACCCGACACGAACCCCGCCGCGCATACAGTACAGCATGTGGTCTGTAGCCCTCACTGCTAGCTCCCTTGCCCAAGACTCTCACATTCCAGGTCAGAAACAGGCTGCCATCCTTGCCATCAGGACGTCTGATGCCCTCCTCAGAATGTGGAATCGCTTGTCGAGAAAATCCGCCTTAAAACCCAGGGCGGCAAGTATCTCTGTATACCAAGGAAGGACTCCTGTGAGCCGCTTGAAGATTTTCAGTGAAACACCGTGATCTCAAAACCAAATTTTCAGCTTACATCATGACGAACTCCCAAACTGAGATTTAAAGTCAAGTAAATGCCTTTGCTAGCATACCCTCTCATTCGAGCTGTACAAAAGCTAAGGGATCCTTAAAATAAAATAAAAAAGTGATCCTTAAAATGGCCTAGGCTACATACTACAGTGGTGTTCATGACACTAATTCCCTTCCATTCCCGCTAAAAAAGTTTGAATGTTTCAATTCATAGGTCTTTCACTAGCACATTAGTGAGCACACTAGCACATTAGTGAGATAATTCACATTAGCCAAGCAACTTTCCCTAATGTTCATTTTCATTCTTCCTTACATCTTTAGACTGCTTCTCCTGATGAGGGTTACCGTTTTCTCACAAATATACACACAAACGGTACATTTTTATTTCTGTGGGTGGTCAAGAACACAACAACGGCAATTTCTAATGTTACAATTTTCACAAAAGAAACAATAGGAGACGTTTTCTTTTGGTTGCACATCTTTAAACCATTAGTTGCATTATAGGCACCCACAAACCAAGACAATGAACATACAGGCAATTGTTCACTTTGTTAAATGCAAATTTAAACACAATTTTAGCAACAACTTCTTTTCCCATATGAAAAATGAGAAGTTAAAAAAAATCAGAAAGCAAATATAGATATAGACATATTCCCATGTCACTGAAAAGGTGTTTAATAAATATTTTCATTCATAAATTAACATGACTACAGTAACTGCTTTCCCAGTTCAGACATTTTTTAAATACACACTCCCAGTTGAATTACTTCAGGCTATGTACTGAACAGATCTACGCCTTTCTGAAGAACAGTTACAACATTTGCAAGCCTAGAATATTCTGTGCAATACCTATACACCTATCACCATTGAATGTATGTGTAAGTAGTGTGAACTAAACGTGCACAACTCTTGTAGTGATGTAGGGATTTAGTCAAGCAGGAAACCTTATAAACTTTCATACCTTTCACTATAGACTATAGACTATAGTATAGTACCAACTTCCACGCGGTTTTTATTTCTCTGCTTCAGTGATAGATCTCATGACTTCATACTTTGAAAATACTGGCCTTATAGAAAAAACACTAATATATACACCATCTTGGCGCATTAGAGAAAAGGAAGATTTTAAAATATGAATATTAAAAAATATATTAAATAAATATTAAATACTCTAGGATTAACAGAGCTCCACACACATAACTATACGTTCCCATGCAAAAAATGTCCTTCATTTCCAGTCACAAAAATATCAATATAGTTTCCTTGAATATTCCGTTAAAATCATTTATAGGTTTCGCAAAACCTTTTCTTCTCCAGGAAAACACTTCCAAGAGAACCGACGTTTCACTCTAACGATTAAGTATACTGTATAAAATATTCATCTCAGCACAGTCCGTAAATTTATCATTCAGAAAGCGTACAGTAGATGATGATCCTATAGAATAGATTAATAAACTCGAATATACAAGTGTTTTCCCGTGTCGGCGCAGAATCTGTTCACCGCGTTTAATTAGTTGTATACTCGCACACTGCGGGATTAACTCGGCAATTTATGGACTAGCACTAAACGAATACATAGATGAGATAGACGATAGTCGGAAGAAATATCCGTTATATTTCGATTTAAGTGACTGTAAATGCATCCTGCCATCATGTTTCGCTCTACCACACCGCCTATGACACACAACTTTCGTTTCGGTCGTAAGAGATCAACAATACAAAAAGTTCTTACCGTGAAAGAGAACCAGACGAAGAAACGCGCCCCTGGGACCATTTTTAAAAAAATATATAAATCAATTTTTTTCTAGTTTGCAAAACAATAAGGCAAAAAATATATATAAATCAACTCGCTTTTGATCGCACCAGAGCACGAAACGCGTATTCTGCTAACTGACCAGGTACCGAGTTGCTCCGCACTGGGTGGGGACAAGGCGAAGGGAGGCGGCTCGGTCCTTTCTGTGTCCGCACGCAGGGTGGGTGCTCGCTCCACCCAGGCGACTGGGAACAGACCTGCCTACCTGGCCCGCACGTCAGCCGGGCTGCCGGCGTCGCCCGGTTTCGCGGACCTCCGCCCTCACAGTCACCCTGGAGAAGAGATTTCACCTGCGGTTGAGGTGATTATTAGTTGGTGGGCATGATAAAATACACTACACTTTTTTTTTCTTTTCTCGTTGCTACTCATTTAAGCGAAAGTGCTGTTTTTTTTTTGGGGGGGGGGGAGGTCTGAATTCATAGCGCTTGAACCACCATTTTATGTACAGTATTCTCCTTAAAACAATAAAACACTGAGGCTGTAGCGTTTCATATACATCTTTTAGAATTAAAATTTAAAATACACAAATAAAAAATACAAAATACACAAAATATTCTATATTAAACATATAATTTTAGTTTATTTAATGTATAATAATATATTATATCATTATATATTAAATACAAAAAACGTTTCAAGACATTTTAGACAATAGGTACCGATAGTTTCTTTTCGTTACTATACAATAACACTAAACATAAAAGCGTTAAATTACAAACGACACCATTTTGCCAATCCAGCTCGTTTAAATTCTAGTAGCTAACTGATCTGACACTATTTTTCAAACAGCTGTTTGTTTGTTTTTTGAAGGAATGAGGAATGACATATTCGCTTCAACAACATTGTTACTATACAATATGGTCATCTCACACTAACTCCAGAGTTTTTTTGTGTGTGTTTAAGGTGACTGTCGTCTACAGTTTTAAAACGACTTCCACGTAGTTTACACTTGGTTTGCCGGTTCTTTTTGTCAGTGTCGATCCTGAAGAACTTGTCGATTTTTTTTTCTTAGAAGAACACAGAAAAGGCACGACGTCCATGTTAACACAGGACACCTGTGGACACAGATACGCAAAGTCAAACACGTTTGGCCATAATGCCGGGGTCATGCCGCACACAGCTTGCATAAAATCCTCGTGATGACAGAAACAGCAGTGCCGCTGAAAAATATTCAATGCTGCGATAAAATAAAGAATAATTAAATATTTCAGCTTTTAATTATATATCCTAACATTCTGCTGGCCTTTTTACTGTTTTCCCACATTGTCTAGAAAAAATAGACACTGAAGTATTCATAGTTTGTGTCTTGAATGTCTCATTTCTATCTACTGCAGTTTTTTTACTCGAATTGGGCCTAACTTATTATATCCTTTGCAGCTTCTAATGGCTTGGTAAGTAGTGCAACAAAAAAGGCAAAGATAATGTCAGGCTGTTCTGTGTAAAAACACAGAATCTAAATTCAGAAATGGTTTGTCAGAAGTGGACAATGACATAGCAATCTTTACAATGCTATCAAAATCTGATCCCATTGTAGAATAAACATATTGCTGCCCTGGAATCAGTCTAGAGCAGAGCGACCAGACATATCCCGATGCTTAGTGGAATGTTTAAGCCTTTAAAGTCTTGAACACAGAAGGACCCAATCCAAGTACAGTATTTAAAATCGTAAAAGGCCCTGACAAAGCCAGCCCAGTGAACTTCTTCATTATCAACAGTGAAACACAAACCAGGGGACACAAGTGGAAACTAGAAGGCTGTCAGAGAACAAGGGGCACTTCTTTACACAAAGGGCTGTGGGAGTATGGAACACGCTGCCTAGCCACGTCATTGAACACGATCCTGGTTTCTCTCAAGAACTATTTTACTACTAACGTCCAAACAGGTTAGATCGGACAAATTACCTCCTTTTGTTTTGAAACCTTATGTGGTAAACCTCGTGTGTTTTGAAATCTAACTGTGTGTGTTAAGTTTCCTTTTTTATATAATTTGACAACAATGGCTCTAAAACAGATCCCTACGGTGCTAATTCCATAGCCCCAATTTGAGTATTCAGAACCTATCTGTACCTTTTCCTACCTACAGTATGTATCATCCAATTCTCATTTCAAAGGCAATCCAATCCAATTGTCCAATATTTAATCTAATGATTGCCTTGAATTCCTACCACTTAACATTTTGAGAAATGGTCTTTTATGTGTGGAGTTTGTATGCTTTCTCTGTGTTTGCCTGGGTTTCCTCCCACAGTCCGAAGGCATACCGGCAGGTTAATTGGCTTCTGGGAAAACTGGCCCTGCTGTGAGTGTCTATGTGTTTGTGCCTGTGTTTGCCCTGCGGTAGGCTGGCACCCCATCCAGGGTGTTCCCTGCCTTGCCAGGCCAGGATAGGCTCCGTCTCTCCCTGTGACTCTGTATCGGTTGCAGTGGTGAGAAAATGGGTGTTTGTGGATAAACTCTGTCTTATTTCTTCATAGACTGCTTCCCTGCTATTGAAAAAGTATTTTGTGCTGTTCCCTTTCAAGTTGACATTTTTTTTGTCTCTGCATTTTTAGCCCACAGAACCTGCTTGGTGTACCTCCTGATTGATCTCTGAGTAATCTGGTAAACGTCACTTGTCCTCCTAAATCTGATACCTGTTTCCTGTCATGCATCTGGCATGCGGGAACGTTTCTTTACCTCTCCTCTTGACATTTTAAAGTCATGATGTGGCATTTATGAAAGCTGTTCCCACAGTTGATTTCTTTTAGTATATAAGATCCAGGCCTGATGGAGATACTGTACGTCTTTCTTATTTTGGAAGCAGTCCTCCAATTCTGAGCCAGTCACGAGTAATTGCCAGGAGAGGAGGAAAGGTACAGTAGCTTGCTTGGACATGCATGAACAAACCAGTTTAATGACCTGTTCTGGCCAAATGTGACAAAAGACACAGCCCAGTATCCTTTTAATCCAGTTTCATCCATCTGGGAGCGAAACACACCCATAACATGTAATTGTTTTATATTTCTCCAACGCCTTTTGACATAATAAGCAAGCTATTAATGTGTCACAGAGATCGTTCATTCTTATGCAATTAATGCAGCTTGATTCATTTTATCCTGGTGTCAATCATGATCTTTATGACAGACCTGTGTACAGTGTTCAAGGGGCTTTCCCCTGGAATTCAAGGCAATGTTTAAAAAAAAGAAAAATACCAAAACAAGTTACAGTTTGAAAAGAAGATATTATTCTTGACTGTAATTAGGGTCAAAGGGTGGCATGGTGCCTCGCAGAGCTGGGACCCTGGGTTCAATTCCTGAGGTGCTGTCTGTGGGGAGTTTGCATGTTCTCCCCTAGTTTGCGTGGGTTGCTCGCCACAGTCCGCAGACATAGTGGTAGGTTAACTGGTTTATGGGAGAATTGGCCATTTTGTGACTGTGTGTGTATTTGTTTCTGTCTGTGCCCTAAAGTGGACTGATGTCCCATCCACAGTGTACCCTGCCTAGCGCCCATTACTTGCTGAGCTGGGCTCCAGCTCACCTGTTATTTTATTCTCTTCAAATTTATATAATCTTCCTCTTCATGCATTTTTGAGTTGCAGGTTGAGTTTTAATGAGAACAATGGGACTGTTGTGCTGGAAATAAAAAACAATCACTGGTACATCTGTGACATCTGGCATGTTGACATGAGTATAAACAGCTTTAAAAAATCTGAGATACAGTACATACCACACATAATAACTGAGGTGTGTCAGATCTTTGTCACTTGTTATGACTCCTGGCACTAAATGACATAAAACCTTTTTGTTCTCTGATTCTACATTTATTTTCTCTTTTCACCTTTGCACATTAAAGGAACTTACTGTCTCTAATTTTCAGACAAAGGACTACCTATAACTTTTTTGAGATTATTGTTCTTTTTTCTCATCATTCTTTGACTGGTTGTCTAATGACTTACTATGTATGCAGTGGAATATCCTGATCCCATAACCATCACTAGCTGAGAGTAAGGGAGCACCAGAGGAGAGTGTGGATTAAATACACTTATATGTGTTGCCGGCAGCCATATCACCCTGCAACTCACAACTAGCAACCCACTGAAGCTCAGCAGGTGTGAGCCTGGTCAGTACCTGAATAGGAGACCACCTGGGAAAGCTGAGGTTTCTGCTGGAAGAGGTGTTAGTGGGGCCAGCAGGGGGCGCTCACCCTGCAGTCCATGTGGGTCCTAATGCCCCAGTAAAGTGATGGGGACACTATACTGTAAACAGGCACCGTCCTTCGGATGAGACGTAAAACTGAGGTCCTGACTCTCTGTGGTCATTAAAAATCCCAGGGCGTTTCTCGAAAAGAGTAGGGGTGTAACCCCGGTGTCCTGGCCAAATTTCCTGTTGGCCCTTACCGATCATGGCCTCCTAATAATCCCCCTCTCTGAACTGGCTTCATCACTTTGCTCTCCTCCTCACTGAGAGCTGGAGTGTGGTGAGATAACTGGCGCACTATGGCTGCTGTCGCATCATCCAGGTGGGGCTGCACACTGGTGGTGGAAGGGAGTCCCCATTACCTGTAAAGTGATTTGAGTGGAGCGTCACACACTGACACAGACACACACTTGCACTCACACTCAGACCAGTGCCGACTTTCCCAGGTTAATTAACCTACCAGTATGACTTCGTGTCTTTCAGTTTAAGACAGGCATTCTGGTCTTGATTTGTATTAAAATGGCTTTTGGCATAATGCCAACGGTGATTGTTGTCTTTAGATAAACGCTATAGATTAACTTAATCTCACTTAGTCACACTGTAAGAGCAGGTGCCTGGAAAATTAGGCCCAGATTCTGCTCTTCCTTGTGCTAATAGGGGCGCTGCCCATAACTGCTTTATAAGACCACTTCAGACATCAGAACATAAAAACATGATATGAAAGAAAAAGAGAATTTAGAAATGTAACAAAGCATAAAAAATTGAAGAATAAGACCATATATCTGATTAATCTTTGTAGTCATGTCTGTGAGACAAAGCTTGACAAGAACCCTTTCCTCAAAAGTACATCAAATGTAACATCGATCTGCTGTGAATTGTTGGGTAAAAGGTACTATTTATTCACACATTCCACACCAGCAGTGTGAGTAATATGGAAAGGAACAGAAAAGCATTATATAAACCTGTGCAGTTTCAGCAAATTGATTTCTAGTGTTATTTTAATCTTTGGATGTCTAGAGTTACTGTAGTTATTATACTGCAGGAAGCATGGAGCAAATAAGGAGCTGTCCACAGGATAAGAATTTAATTATATTTTCCTTTTTTTTGCTGAGGTTTCATCGGAAAGATATTGAACTTTGGTGTAGGTATTTTATGGAAGAAAATTCATCCCCTAAAAGTGAATACAGGTGAGGCTATTCACAGCATAGTGTCTTTTCAAAGCAGAAGACAAGGTTTGTAGCAATGAGGTGAACGTACATACCACAGAGAAGACATCATTCCTAGTAATGACCCTCTGACTGTCCAGTCAGACCATGTGAATGGTTTAAAAATGAGCATCTTCGGCAGGCTGTCTCTAGTATGGAAGGACAGGAAACTGTGGAGGCCCAGCACAGATTTCAGCAGCAGAAGGCGTTTCTAAGGCAACCTAAAAGTAATTGAATTTAAATCTGTTTAATATTACAACACGAAGAATACAACTGAAATAAAAGCAAAACGTTTTTTAATACTGTATGTAAGAGAAAGTGACACTTTGGCAGAAGGTGTTTGTGTCCGAGATGAAACAAGCTCAGTGACAGAGCGATTATATGCATAGATTGTGAAAAAGACTTTTGATGTTGCTGATGGTGAAATTCAAATATCCAATTTCTGAAAAATTACCAGTCTTTGGGTTCCTGAATATTTACATGAATTACAAAGGAAGTACAGAAAAGCGGTATAACGCTCTAGATATTTCAGAAGTAACTACCCTTGAAAGTATGAATTCTCTTTACTTTTGTTTTTCTGTTCCTTTGCCATTACTTTTTATCTGTTGGTTATGGGCAATGCTCCATAAACTAAATCGTGGAGGTTTACTTGCAGTTCTGTATCTCGTGAAAATGAACAGAAACACAATCATGTTATTTCATCTTTCTTGGAAGAAGTGTTACTCACTTACTGTAAGCGCGGATCTAGGTAGTAACAGTTTATAACAGGATTGTTGTTCTGATGTACATAAAAGACCCACAAGCGCACTGAGAGTTCAGTGTCCTTGGGATGATACTATGGCTGAGAATATACAGCAAACAAAACATTTCCAACTTTGAAACGTATGCTTTGCTGTCTCGAACAGGCTCATCTTACATTTGATAGAGGGTGGGTCTGACAGCAAAATGAAAAAAAGAAAACTGCATCCTTCTTAAACACATAAGTATCTTTTTTGTGACAGTGTGCCTGATTACAATCAGGCCAGGGTAGGTGGACAACAAAGGTTAACAGTAAAATTCTAGCCAAACAAGTGCTGCATTACATTCTCTTTTAACATTAGTGTAGGTCCATCTATATCTTCAATTCATGCATATGTTCCCTTCCCTAGTTCAATTACAGCAAGAATCTTCAGTTCTTCCCATAATCTTCACACCAAATTAACGTTTTTTTTGTCAATTCACTTAAATAATAGCTGGTGTGTTTGAAAGTAAGATGTTCTCCTGTAAGATGTTCTCATGCGAGTGAATAGCGTTAGGCACATGGAAATGTTATGTTGCCAAAGGATGACAAAGCTCTTTACATACGGTAGAGGAGGAAACCCACCTCACTCACAGCTGAGGAGCAGCACTGTGGGAGGACACATGGCAGACAAAGCTGGACAGGTGAGAAACTACTTCAGCAGTTGAATGAAGAGGTGCTTTAAGTTACTGGATTGGGAACCCACAGAGTGGAATCGGACATGACGGTTAACACCCCTGTTCTTACGAAGAGGGGGCTGGAATCCACAAACTAAACTGGAAAGACCTTGGCTTGTCCATACTGGGGTATTAGATTTGGAAATTCTGGACCAGACGGAAGACTGACACCTAATGGTCCAGCAGCAGCACGTACAGCAGCCAGCTATGGTGGGAGTATGTGTGTGTGTCTGTGATGCACTGGTGTTCAATCTGGGGGGCACTCCGCCTTGCGCCTGGTGCTTGGCCCCCCTGTGACCCCGCATTGGATAAAGCCGTTGGCAAATGATGGATGGATGCCCCATCCCAATATTGACAAAGCCCATCCCTGTTTAGATTCTGAGATATGATGAGATCGGGCTAGAAGTTGCTAATTCTACAGCCGTCTGTTTTGACGACTCTGATAATTGTTGCTAGAAACTAGAAAACTACTGTAGCTTCTCTCGTTAATGCTTGATCCCCACCGTGATGATTCGGAATTATCAAGCTATGGTTTTAGCTATTCCCGCTCATCTGAAGATTTTAGGAGATAACGCGAGACATCGGGAATATAATCAGCAGAAACAGACATGAGTAAGAAACCACAACTGCTGTTTTTATTATTCATCAGCTTAAGCTGAACAGTGCATTTTCTCTTGGGAATGCAGATAAAACCCATCCCGTCACCACTATAATTAAAATGGAAAATGCTGTGTTCTTTTGAAAACAATCTTGAACTGTTGGATCTATATGCGTGTTGTCTCTTTTGAAGGAGGAAAAACTTGGCTATTTTGCAGTGGGAAAAAAAGTGCTTCATAAGCAGTCTTGCGAGTTTTTCATCATGAAGACCTTTTTCTGTTTCGAGGTTTAGAGGTCTAGTGTTTATCTAACCGTACCATACACAAGCAGTGACCTCTGTGTCCTGGCTTCAGGAATTTCGACAATTTAAAGCTGTTTAGGGTAGTGGAGGAGGAGGTTGACAAAGCGTGATGAGTTCATGCAATCAGTTCACAGGCAGATAGGAGTGAGAACCTTTGTCAAGTGTCTTGAGTGTGAAAGCTTTTTGTGTGAGTCATTGGTACAATAATAATCCATCTAAAATGCAATACTAAATTAATCCCATTCTGCTATCAATAGGAAATGACAGAACAATAGGTAACTGGTGAAAATATATTTTATAGATGCGATTGTGTACAATACAAACTTACAGAGAGTTTGCACATGAACATAGAAAGCTTTGGCGCAGCACAAGAATTTGAGGCAATGTAGTGGATTTTGTCAGCACTCAAAAGGACGACTAAATAAGGATGCAAGGCTCGCTTGTAGTTTCAAATGGTAGCTGTTGTTCATTAGCTTTTACAGATGCTCTGACAGCTGTTTATAAACGATATAACCCCCTTTTCCCCCATCAATTTGTCTAAATCAGAACAACACTTTTTACAGCAACGCCCTCTTATATGACTATTTTCACTAAACTCTGATGTAGCTTCATTCTACCTTTCTGACTAGTCAGAAATCATTAAAACCACAATGCACTGTATAGGGGCTTGCTATGTAAATAACAAGACTTTTTTAACTAGTTAGCTTGTTTTATGCTAACATTGTAAATGTGTTTTTTAGTAATTTATAGCCTAACAAAGCAACAAAAGCTCACTAACATTCATTTTTCTGTTCCCACTTAAATATAATTAGTACTAGTCATTTATAAACAAATGTCAAATGTCTTCAAGAGTGAGATGTGGAAGGTAAGTGCTTAGATACAAGCAACAAAATAGCAGGTCGAGTGAGAAATCACAAGCAAACAAAGAATTGAACCACAGCTGTTTTCTTCATTTTCGTAAACAGTGCCAAGGGCCTGGACTGGATGATGTCAGTATAGGAAGGTGACAATTAATCCTAGGACTAGTCTGGGAAATTAATCTGTGGAAACAAATGAAATGTATTTGCACTCATCAGCAAGCAGCGTGGATGTTATGAAATGCCTGCAGACAAAAATTTGGCAAGAGCCTGTTAAGAGACGTGTTAAAACAGCCCTGCTCAGCTAAGGGTCTGTAGGATTTTTCTAACTTTGGAGGAAGCACAACTCTCAATTTAAAGAGGAAATGGCTCTTCTGAAGTGTTTCAGTTTATGTTTCTGTTACACTGCTATTCTAACATAAAATGATGAAGATCTTTGTAGGAATTTTGCTATGAGTTGTGTTATTATTAGGCTTATGTTCATTTTACTTACAAATGTGATCTTGGAAAAAGTATTATGCATCGAAAGTACTGCTTACTTACCTTAGAGAAATACCCAGCTCGAAAGAGAGAGAATCACAAGGCTAATGTTTTCCATAGTTCACCTGGAATGACAGGTTAACAACATTCAAAACCCTGCATTTAATCTGTCTTGTTGGGGCCGCCCTTGTAAAGGAGCAACTTTTCGACACCGTGGGAATTTGCCTTCTCTTTGTAGGAACCATGAGAAATCTAATGCTATGCCTTTAATTTAATCTCCTTACATTTCACCTCACCTGCAAAGAAACGTGACTGTTACTCACGTTGATCGCAAACACTTTCATTCACACCCACATCACCCAGACACTGTCACTGTTCTTGCATGCCATGTGGTTAATTCTGATTTCCCTTGAAGATCTTTATTGTACATTTATTTATTGTATATTTATGTAACAGTCATTAAATTAATCTGGTTCTTATCTGAAAGCATCAGATTTTACGCCATTAAATCTCCAAAGTGGCTGCTAGACCCAAACTGGGCTGGCAAAAGGGATGTAGAAAATTAAATGAATCCAAAAACAGCGTTGTCCAATTTTCCTTATTTCAAAAGCTCACATTAATGTAGGGAGCAGCAGACTTTTGAATTCTCATTTCATATTAAAGTACCAAATACGAAAGTGAAACCAAAAACAACTTTCTTGAAGTGTAAGAAATAAGATGCAAAGTAAATGAGCAGTAAAATAAGAGTGGCCAGAACCTTGTAACATTTTCCAATATGAAATAAAATATTAAAATCAATTAGATACTATTGTATAATAGACTCTATGTACGGTAGTAATTTAGTGCTTTGGAGGTGTACAAGCAAAGTTAGAATCTTTAATACAATTTTATTCATACAGTATTAGATTTCACTGCAATTTTTGTTGTTGCTCTATGATTTGTTGCTATAATTTATACATTATATAAATTTCTATGTTTTTTCATATGCTTATTTAAATCCTATTTTAAATGGTTTTGACTTTTATATTATATAGAAAGGTAGTGCAAAATTTTTGCCTGAGTCTATGCTAATGTGGCCATATCACCCTGCAACTCACCCCTGGCTACCCACTGAAGCTCAGCAGGTGTGAGCCTGGTCTGTACCTGGATGGGAGACCTCCTGGGAAAAACTTAGGTTGCTGCTGGAAGAGGTGTTAGTGGGCCCAGCAGGGGGCAATCACCCTGCAGTTCAAGTGGGTCCTAATGCCCCAGTATAGTGACGGGGACACTATACTATAAAACAGCCGCTGTCCTTTGGATGAGACGTAAAAACCGAGGTCCGAGGTCCTTTAATGACCACAGAGAGTCACTCTGTGGTCATTAAAAATCCCAGGGCGTTTCTCTAAAAGAGTAGGGGTTTAACCCCGGGTTCCTGGCCAAATTTCCCATTGGCCCTTACCAATCATGGCCTCCTAATAATCCACCTCTATGGATTGGCTACATTACTCTGCTCTCCTCCCCACTGATATCTGATGTGAGGTGAGCGTTCTGGCGCACTATGGCTGCCGTCGCATCATCCAGGTGGATGCTGCACATTGGTGGTGGTGGAGGGAGTCCCCATTACCTGTACAGAGCTTTGAGTGGAGTGTCCAGAAAAGGGCTATATACTGTAAGTGTAAGCAATTATTATTATTGATGTCTAATTTTTCAAAATAAGAAAAGAACATTAGAATAAGAATAAATTCTTACACTTACAGTATATAGCTCTTCTGTGGACACTCCACTCAAAGCGCTTCACAGGGAATGGGGACTCCCCTCCACCTGGATGATGATGATTTCGAATTATTGCATAAGTTGTGATAGCCAGATTCAAGCCTGGTCATATTAACTACTGATAATATGGCATGAAAATTTCATGTTATTTCAGACACAGGTGAGAGAACATACAGTAGGAGAGGATACACATGAGAGAAGGTAATTCAGTCCATTTTATTTCTTGGGGTGCTAGTAGCTAATTGATCAAAGGCTCTCTTTCATCTATTTTGTGAAAGAAACAGTTTTAGCGATATGGCTGGGAAGCCTGTACCATACACTTAAAATATTCCTAACATATTTTCTCTTTGGATATATGCCAGGACTGATTGTATCAGCATAACAGTGATCAAACTGTAGGCGCAGAATTTTGAAATGTGACACATTTACGACTATGACAAATGTGTCAAATGTTTGAGAAAAAACACTGAGATCAAATAGTTTAGAATGAACTTTTGCTTCCTGTCATTTTATTTTGACTTACTTTATAAAAAGGCGGATGCATTTTATTAACAGATTTCAAACAAGAAAACAAAACTAGTTGTTGGATTTGTTACTAAAGTAACAAATACAGTATGCTCCTAAATATTTTATAATCCCATAAGATATTAAAGCACAAGTATTTCCAGTTTAAATGCTTTTTCTTTGCACTTCCAGATCCATCTGGAATTCAATCTCCACCTGGTTAATCTATTGATAGTGCATTGACAGTAAGTGCTCCTAGCAGGGATCTCATCCTGGGTGACATGGCCTTGTGCACTAGTAACCCCACTGCAGAGCAGATGAGGTAGAGACATGAGAAACCGTTTCAGCTTTATGAAAGTCAGACAGCACAAGTCAACAGTAGGACACCTACTGGAAAAGTGCCATGAAAGCTGTGATGATTAACTAATGTTACCCGCTGCAGCATCACATCCATATTTACTACTAATAGTGCTTTCATTGAGTTTTTTGACCCACAGGGCTCCTAAAGCATATGGAGATATACTATATCCATAATTGAAGTGCTGCACCACCTGGGTAAGGTGCAGTTATCATCATGTGCCAACAGACAAACCATCCAGGAGATCGGGTAGAGCAATGAGAAATTGCTTAACCTGTTGAAATAAGGGACACAGCGGAGGAGTGCTGGAAGGGACTTTGTGGCCCTGTACAGCAGAAGCCTGTTCCCTGAGCTCCAGCGCAGGACTGGACAACCGCAGTTTCAGAGCCAGGACAGGGGAAAGAGACATGGACAACAGCAAGCGGTAGGGCTTGGAGGGACTCTTTAATTGTGCAAATCTGGCCCCCAAATCCACTTGTTCTGATGAATAATGGACAAACACCTGATTGAGAAAGTTCTAATTCAAGGTACCTCTGATAATTTGTTAGAGTGTGTACTTATTGCGAAATGTTTTTTTTGTGAAATTAAGTTTATTTTGATAGGGGAATAAAATGTTTGGACTGTGGGAGGCAGCCAGAGCACCTGCAGGAAACCTATGTTAACACGCGGAGAACATACAAACTCCAGATGGATAGCACCCAGATCCAGGATTGAGCGCAGGGCCCCTGTGCTGTAAGCCAGCAATGCTAACCTCCTTGTCGCCATACCACCCCTTCACAAAGCACCATAGGATCTTAATGGTGGTGTAGTCAGGATCTTGGTTAAAGTCCCCTCCAGAGGACAGAACATCCTACAGGACAGTGTCCCCAGTGACCACACTGGGGCAGTGGAGAGGTGGTCATTAAAGAGAGGGAAGACCTACAGTACAGTACCTGTTGGTCCACCAGCCCCACCTCTAGTCCATTACGGAAGTGGTATGGGCTTGCTGAGCTTCGAAGACCTGATTGATCAGGTTGCATGATGTTAGCACTTTTGTGGGAAGAACAACTACGCTGAAAACAATACTGTGTATTGCTGCACGCACATGCAAACTAAAATCCAGAAAGCTTATAAACAAATACAGGTGAGTCATAGAGCTAAATCTTAGGTGTGTGCTTTGGCCTGCTTCCAGTGGAGTCAAACCCATCTACTGTACATCTGCTGCATTAATGGGACTGCGTTCTCTGGCATCATTTCGCATCCTGTTTGATGAGAATGAAATGAGACTGGCTAAATCACTGCTTAGTAAAAGGGTGAGGTGCCTCCTCCTAATCAAAGCGTATTATTATCACTGAGATGAATAATGCATCATACAATAGATAAACCTGGCAAAGCAGCTAAAAGTGACAATGCCGCAAATTGTTTCAGACTGTCCTGTGTTAGCACTCTCATTAATTAAAGCAATATACTCTAGCAATAAAACACACAAAGTTGTAATATAGATTAATTCTCACAATTACATCATGATAAGGACTATCATGAGAGGTTATTATTCATGCCTACTGCTTTGAACAGTGAAATGAGAGATCACAGCACACATTGTAGTAAAGGTGGAATATGAACCAAGCCTGGACAGTAAAACATTAACCCACCAAAGGACTGGTACATGTTTCACTGTCTTTCTGCATTAGTTAAAATTAAACCAGAGAGAAGCAGACTCATAGGAAGAGTAGCTTTAGAACACTAACAAATTGGTTCTCGGTATTTTAGTCACAAAACATTTTTGAAGAATTTAAGATTTTAACTTGACTTCAATTTCCAGTATTTAATTGCATTTCTCTGTATTTCCAAATTTGTGATCCTCCTCAGTGTCTGCTTAAATTGCTCCTTCCATACTATCCTCCCAAAAAACCAGGAGGTACAGTGTTTGATAAGACTTCAAAAAACCCAAATAGAAGTAATGACTACTTCTCTCCTGCAGAGCATAACTATTAAGCCCTCAGTGAGATTTTGATATCTAATTTTCCTCCTGTCTGCACAGCCTCGGGCCTTTCACACTAATCCGTATTTTTACCCTGTTTGGAACAGAGGGAGTTCACCATGTTGCACCCTTTGCTGAAAGAACAGACTGCTTTGCTAAAAGCCCAGAGAGAAGTGCGGTGTTAATAAATAATTTGACAAAACGAGAACTGTGTGCTTCCCCACCATTTTGGCCCTTATTTGTATTATCTGCAAATTTGCATTTTATACAAACTAAAACAAGCTCCCAGCATGTTAAAAATAAGAGAACATAGTTTGTTTTGGTGCCCTACAGTTTCAATGCTTCATATATTCTATATTCTACTGCTGGAAGCTTTAAAACTAAACCACTCCAAACGTCCACAAATCTCTGTATTAACAGATACATTTTGTAGGTTGTATCATTCTTATTGTTTTTTTCCCCACTGCATGTAAAAAAATGTTATGTTCCTCATCTGTCATTGAGTAATTCGCACAGTCTAGAGCCTTTTTTACGTTATCTTCTTTCAGGAACCCTTGGTGTACATTTCGGTTGTGGGGGTTGCCATGGCGATGTTATCTGTGGCGCTTAAAGACTTTGTGCTCCTGACGGGCGGAGCAGAAGGCAGAGAGGAATGCGAGTGAAACCTGCTCAGGGGCAGCCCTGGGTGTGTCTGCGGAACTACAGACAGACCAGAAAGAACAGGACTGCGCCGCCACGCCCTGTTCCACCTTTTCGATTCGCTTTAAACCCAAACGAGCGGAGCAGAGTGAGTCACATTGTTTCAAGGCTTTCTCTGTGTTGGCTTTTTTAAAAAGGGAAAATATAGCCGTGGTAATTTAAAGAGGTCATGCCATTTAATGCAATTTACTTAAACCAAAACGCACCTTTCAGTATGTTTGAGGAATCACGGAAAACATTAAAACTGACATAGGACACTTATATTGATAATGTACTGTATATTGTTTGCATATATTTTTAAAATGCACTACATTTGTTTAGACTGTTCTAAAAAACAGTCATGAGACATACATTCAGCTGTCAAACAGAAGCTTTATTTCAACTGAATTCTCCTAACCAGACTCAAATGAGATGAACCCACAAGATATATATTTATATTCCAAGTGCATCCCTGTACTACCCCAGACACATTCATCAAGATAAGGTTCAGCCAAATCTTCAAGCTTTACTCTCTCAGCTTCAGTTTGTGGCATTGTTGTGTCTTAAATTATTGGCATCGAGATTCAAAACATCTTTTACCTGAAATTCCCCCCCAAAAAATTCCTTTTCTTCAGAAGAAACATTACTGCAACGTCTGCCAATAAGAAGAAATACAGCTGCAAACAGCAAGGACCAGGGACAAAGTCAGCTCCCTCATGACCATCCTGTTCAAGTGTGTTTACCAGTTTTCACATTAATTGGTTGACAGATTTTAGCTGTGAATGCATACCGTATGTGTGCTTCTACCTAATCCAATAGTCCTGCTGAATGATAAATTCTCAAGATCCATCAATCCTGAAATTCCAGAGTATTACTCCCTATAAATGCAGTGCAAGATCGTGCCTGCTATGCAAAACGACAATACAAAAACATGCCGCACAGTGGCCTGGCAGTCAGTGCTGTGATTCCAGCCTGGGGTGCCTCCTGTGTGGAGTGTGCGTGTTCTCCCCATGTTTGTCTGGGTTTTCTGCAGGTGTCCCACCTTCCTTCCACCTGCGAAAGACATGCTGGTCAGGAATAATGAGCTATTGTAAAAGATCTTTCTCCACATGCATGCAATGCCCCAGTGTCTCATCCAGAATGATAACAGCCCTAGCCCTTACCCAAACTCTGACCTTAGCCTCTGCACCCTGTGCTTCTGGGATATCCTCCATGTTTTTACGCTCACCAAGAACATGCAGCTTTCTTGAAAATGGATGAATAGAAACAAACTTCGAAAGGAAAAACACGAACTCAAAATTAATTGCTCCCTACACTCAAACTTTAAAGCTCCCTACTGTTCTGGACTTCAATGGACAATATTATAAGTTACAAGTCCCAAAACTCCTTAAAAATGAGTTTCACAGAAGAAACATTAGAACGTATAGTAATGTCCTTATGTATTTTAAAAGTTCAGCATGGGCCCCAAATTGTGTTGATCATTTAGACTGGCTATTCCACACAAAGAACTTCAGACAGTTTTGTACCGGTTTGTAATGCTTTGTGAGTTTTTCTGCAGAGTTATCAATTTTACATGACCTCAGTATTAGACATAAAACAACAGGTGTAATACTGAGGTAATGTCTAATACTGAGAACAGTACTAGACATAAGAAGAATGAGAATCATGCTGTAGTTGTGACAATGACTCATGACTTGTCATGCTTTGAAAACATAGACATGGGCAGGTTATTTGCACAAGAGGACACAGTGACCCTCTGCTGGGCGTAGACAGAGCTTGTAGACCTGTTCACGTCCTGCAATGTTTGCAAGGGCACTGTGCTGATGTTGTATTGATTTGCTCTGGGCTGTGAGTTGCAGGAGCCATGGTAGCTGAGACGGCAAAGGGCATCTGGCTCCTGAGTGGAAGGCCCTGGGTTCAATCCCTGGTAGGGGCAAGCAACGGAGCTTGGTCTAATTCCTTCCAGATGTCTCCCAGGTCCATTCAGCCTGCTTTCCAAATGAGTACTGGGGGTCAATCCTTCTGGAGGTAAGAGGCTGGCCAGAGAGTGATGCTGACCACATCATGATCATCATCCCTCTTCTAGAGGGCGCTCCAGCTCTTGTGTTTTAGTTTCAATATCACATACACCTCTCCCTGGATTCACCGGTATCCTTTAAACCTGGTGCTCCGGAAGCTCGGGGCTCTGCATTGGAAGACGGATGCCCGGAAGCCCACCGATCATCAAGTCGCCCTGCGTCTGCAGCTTGAAGGCAAAGGCTTCCGATTGGCGTCCTGACCCAGCTGAGTCCGGGGCTCGGAGCGCCTGGCCTCGTCACTCCGTTTTTAATTTCCTAGTCCCATGCCCCTGTTTTTTAATCGTCTTGTCTTGAATGGATCACCTGGTTTGGGATTTTGGACTGCGCTTTTGGATTTTCCCACTTGAACTGTTTTTGGACTTGTTTGCCTGCTCCCCCCTTGCACCTGATCAGTGTCGGCACCGGCTCCTGTTCACTATCCCTTCCGTTCCTGACCGTGTTTTCCCTGTAGCCCTTCTCCGGTCACTTCCGGATTATGCCAGCTGCATAGGGTCCTAAACTACGGACTTCACTGGAGTCAGGACCGGCTCCCGTTACACACTTCTAGTGTTGAATGGTTGGGAAAAATGGTGGCCCTTGCCCCCCATTCCTCCAGGGGCCTTTATGACCTGAAAAGGGGACCTGACCTCCCTATCTGTGGGTTGCATGATGGTGGGAAAGGCTGCAGGCTCTTTGCAGGTGACTGAGTCTCAGAGCACTGTGGTTTTTTTGGGCAGACATAAGGTAAAGGTGAGGAGCTTTGCAATCAAAGGGCGCTTTGTGAGCAGAGATCCCAAGAGGATCCTTCCGTCTAGGACAAAAAAAAAAAACAGCTCCACATAATATAGCGCAAGGTCACTAGCCCCTTCTGTCATTAATATAATAACACAAGTAATAATCCAGAAGAAAATAATTCCAGAATCATATCTGGAGTGATACATTTGCAGACTTGAAATTACAGACTCTTGCCATTACCTCTCATGCTGGAAGGACAAATATATGTTCAAACATTTTTACTGTTTTTAGAAAAAGAGGAGTGGTGAGACACTTACTGTAGCTCTCTCATGTTAGCAAACTGCAGCTTTCTCTTAAAATCCACAGGAATGAGCTCTTCAGCAATATTGTTCAGTAAACCTCAATAGCAGATATGTCCTCTGTGACCTCTCTATAATACCTGAAGTAACAGACAATAAGCAACACCCAGACTAATCAAGAAATAGTTGCACTAAGACGTAACCTAATACTGTAAGTTAAGCTCTGGAATTTAAACGATTAAGGAAAATACAGTGAAGAAAAAATGAAAACAAGTTGACATGGTTCTTTCAGACATTATACTTGAACTCGGTTTGTGGTAGACACTGTGTGAGGGTGGTATAACAAACATTGGAAATGGAAACTTCTATTATTTGGGAACTGAATCTGATTCTGTAAATAACTGGTAATGAGAAAGATAATACAAGTATAGAACAGTGATTGCTCTTAGGGTTACAGCAAGATTCCAGTCTCCTGGTTCTGGGGGAGTTTGCAAAAACAAGAGCAAGCAATGTCACTTAATTTAACTGCAGTTATTCTGATGTTAGATTATATTAAATTTAAGCTACAGTAATGTAATGCAAGAGTTTTCCTACTTGTAATACCAGAATGTTTAATGTTCTTATTCCGTGCGTGTTTTTATCTGGTAAAAGGCTCACCCATCCTCATTACTGAAGAAACCACGATGAGCTCTCCAGTGGACGAGAGAGTACACGACTCTGAATGGCCCGTCGGCTATGAGTCCAGAAGCTTACCCTCTATGCTGTACCACCCCCTATTCACTTGCACTTGATAGTTACGTCTATTTTTAAAGATATTAAATGTTAAAATAACCCTCCCCCCATCTCATGACGCAGCAGGCCAGTGTTATCTGTCGGTATAGGAATGCACGGCCTCAGACATTCATTCTGTAGTGCAGATACGACACGGTGCTATGCAAAAGTATTCTGGCCCTTACAACAGGCCCCCATTTTATGAAAATACAAAACATTGCATCCACATTTAAAAATATTTTGTTCAAAACCCGAATGCTCCAATTGAAGAATTTCAGGGTCAAGATAACTTACAGTTACTGTAAGCAAAAACAAAAGATAACAAACTGAAACAGACCTAGAAACTCAACGTTTGGCAGCAATTACAACTGCGAGTCTATTTGACCAAGTCTCTACTAACGCTGCCTATCAGTTTGGTGTGATATTTGCCCATTCATTTTAAGTAATACTAAACTTTGGGTTTTTGCATTATTGAAACATGCCAGTGCTCAAGATCGAGCTCTAATTATACAAACAACTTCGTCGTGAAAAGGTGGGACACTATGTGCATTTGTACGTTTCTTCTAAATTGAACATGGCATTCGAGAATGCAATTATTTACAGAAGGGAGACATATTAAAGAGAGAACCTTACGCAGATATTATGGTATGCTTGTATGATAGGTAACATAAGCATAAGCCTCAAATAAACCATTTCTGAATGCATGGATGGATTATATTATATGGATTACTGAATGTTGCTGGTGTGAGTGTCGCATCTTCTGTAGTTAGATGTGAAAACATGAACGCGTTTCAAAACAAGTACTGCATGCTCTTGGAATGCCGGACGTACTCCTGTTCTCTGCATGTAACAAAATGTTCTCTTCTCACAGTATATAATTTCCAATGGATGCCACTCTCGAGTGCAATGACAAGTAATTCATACCGATGATGAAATAAGCCCAGAGTAAGTAAACGTTAAACAAGGTAATGTACTGTAGAATTCAAAACCCACATGGTCTGTTTCATTTATTGTGATATTTACTTGTAAAACCTTGATATCACAGATGATTGTTTCCAGCTAAAGTATATAAGTATTTCTTTCCTTGATTCCTTTTTTAGAAATCTACCAATGTAACATCTTTGATGGAAAAATACATCCCAGAAATAGGTTAATACTGTAATTTTAAAATTATTTTCTTAACATAAATTTGTCTGTTGGAGAGGTTGTGTGAATAAATCAGGCTGCAAAGTGACATGTTAGAAATGTTACATTTTGGGGAGGAAGGAAGAAAGAAAAATGTTAATTACTAGAAATAGGTCTTTTCCTATTTGTCCAATTATTCTATACTCGCTATTATTTCTCTTGCTAGACAATCACTCTGGTACCTGCTGAAATATGTTTTAAAAAGTAAAAAAGTAACAGGAGAAAAACAAAACAGGCACTCAAGAAATTTCCACAACATAATATTTAGCTGTAGTACAGAATTGGAATTCTCATAAATAAGTTAGTTAGGTGATCTTAATTAGGAATTGTTGAGCAATCTCATTGGCAGGTCTCTTTAAACATTCTCTCAGTTATGTTGTTAGTGTTGATTCTAGTGTACTTCAAGCCATGACCTGCAGTTTTCCCATCATTTTTAGGAATCTCTAATTATAGGATTCCTATTAAAATTGTCAATCTTTATTCCCACAAGAAGAACACAAGGTTAGTAAATGGTTGTCAGTAAACACCCATTCTCTCTTGAACTGTAGTCTTTCAAATCCATCAGGAGAAACCATTGTAATATGAGCAGAACTTCGAATTAGTACAGGCATGTTTTTTTAATCCTTAATTACTGAAGTATACAATAAATACGTTTCCAGCATATTCACAATAAGGACAAAAAAATTAACTACTATCTCCTACACAAATACTGATAGTAATTTGTGCTCAGACTGAAGCAACAAACATTTTTGTTTTTAATTTATAAATAGGAGAAAAAAGTGCTGTTTTTAGTTTTTTTTCTGCTTATTAACAACAGGTGGCACTAAAGCAATTTCACTGGTATGCTATTCCCTGAAAAAACAGCCTTTCCAAATTCTCATTGCAGTAAGGCCTTGTTTACTCTTGTGAGGAAGTGATAAAAGACACAGGAGACATATATCTTTCTCCGAGTGTGATGTCAAAAGAGTGCCAATTGTTTCCTGTTGATTCCAGTTAAACCTGTACAGCTACAAGTGGTTGTGGTGAAGTAGTCATACACATTTTCTAAGATGTACGCAAGAAATACTGACTCTTGATTTTAGGTTAATAAATCTATTAAGAAAAAGTGAACAACATTGTAGGAAATAAACACACAATACTGCTTTGTAATGTCATTGTACATGTTGGGAAAAAGAAGTGACAAGGCAACCATAATAATAAAACACACATAAATAAAGTACAGCACAATACAATCAAAAGTAATGATAGAAAATGATTTACAGTACTGTATGTACTGTATATAGTACAAGTAGAGAGCAATTCCATGAGGAAAAGTAAAACGTTGCAACCATGGAGCTTTCTTCAGCTGTGCTTTGACTCTGAAAACGGCTCCATAGCCAAGATGTTATGTTTATCTTTTTATCTTTGCATTACCCAACATAGGATTCACCTTTACTCCTTCCCCTTCTGAAACACACTGTATATACCGTATACATTGTTCAAAGTACAGTCTACGATATCCATGCAAGGTGCAATCAAAAGCATTGAACAGATGAGCCTGGTCTTAGCTCTTTGCTTTTGTTCAATTTTGCCCTAAGATTATTATTGCGATGGTGTCAATATGCGTACTTGGATATGGCTTCGACCTGTCCTTTGTAGAGCAGCTCAGGTACGGCTGCCTTGAGAGCAGCTCTTGCCAGCTAAATGTTTCCCACTGGGTGTCTGCTGTTCGAAATCAGGAAGGACTCGTTTACTGGGCTGCGTACCTAAAGCGGATTTGATTTCATAGCCGTCTTCGGTCCCTGGCGGGGCGTGCAAGGCGGTGACTAATGGCACCACGCCCGTGTTGGGAAATGCGGCTGCCAAGGGCTGTCAAGAAGGACGATGTGACGCGCCCCTTGGCACTTAACGTCCATGCCAGTTTACTTCGGAAACCACTGCTGTGGTTAAAGGCTAAATTCTAAACGTGAGCTCATATGGAAAACACACCTGCTTACCTTCTTCTCCACAATGTTGAGTGCTGGCTCCCTGCACAGCGCGACCCTCGCCAGGCTCTTGCAGTCACGAAACGCGTGTGGGGGAAAGCTCTCATTGTGTGCAGGGAAAAATCACTCTGGCCTGCGAGAGGCCTCCTGCAGCACACTCTCATCCCCCCCAAGAGGCCTCAAGGTGACAGCGAAAGAGATTTCCGGACATGGAAATTATTTTCTAACTTTCTTTTCACTGTTGAGTAAATTAGAGAAGTATGTCTCTGTATTGTCCAATTTTGTTCCTCTGAACACCCTCAGACTATATGTATATTTTTTAAATTTCAAAACACCAAAACGTGAGCACATTGCCGAGTTGGCTCCTCGGCTCACCTGGCGCAACCGTGCAAGTAAAAACACGCCGTCTAGAAAGACACCCCGAAACGCAGACCACACCCTGCAGCCCATTGTGTGTCTGCGGTGACGCAAGGGGTTGTGGCCCTGCTCGGACCGGGGGTAACAGCCTGGCGACATGAGGCCAGATCCCGTGCTAGTGAAAGAGAGGGCCGCTGTTGAGGGTGGAGAAGGGTGTGAGCTGTACTCTTACAGAGGCAAGGGGATTTATCAGAGGCGTGGGCCGAGACTTGCCTTCTTTTCCAGCTGGCTTTTGTGAATTTCACGAGAAGTCTTATGTGGATTAAAGCTGTAAAAATGCCAAAACATTACTTAAGCTCTTGCTCATACTTGAAAAATTAATGAAAAGTACAACAAACAATTTTCATTAGCATTATTACTAAAAGCAGTTAGAAGAACATAGGAGAGAAAAAAGGTTTGTTTCCTTTCCCAAAAATGTTCTCGTGTTTTTTTCCTAAAACACAACAATGCAATTCAAGAGAAAGAGATATTAATGACATATTCAGCATGCAATCTTCCTGAGTAATACTGCCTGTTCTAGCCAGTCATCCTACAGTTCCTGCGTAATTGCATGCTTTTTAACACTGAGGACAAACAACCGTTCTGGAAGCATTTACATGTGGAAAATGTGCATTTACATGTCTGATCTGATTCTCGTTTCACGGTTAATTTAGGATTTCCACAAATGGTGAGACGGTGTCGAAATGAAAACACCACAGCTGCAGCACTGGAAATGACCTGTCAATGACAGCCCTGGCACTATGGATATACTCTATAGACCAAAGCCAGGTGACTCCTGTGCATCTGTAAAATAAAGTAAAATAAATATTCATACCCTGCAATGTATAAAAAGATTTTTGACAAGAATATAGCTGAGTGGTTGGTATAGTAAGAGATCCAAGGAATTCCTTATTCTCTGGCACAGTTTTGGGTGAAGGGAGTAATAATTCAGGCACAGTATAGTTTACTGTGTGTATTGTATTAATAGCGACAACACAAACTAAACTACACACAATTTAAACATACAACGCACAAGTTATCCTATGTACAAATTCACAATAAAGTACTCTATGGACTTACAGTACATCCTAACCACCCAGAAAACCACAGCAGTTACATTTCTCTGTAAGCCCAGATGCCACTAAATGAATGGGAGCCTATCTCCCTATTCTAACAATGCACCCACAAACCAGGAGAGGCTGTTTTTACCAAGGGATCCCTTAACAACGTTCAAATACCTAGGCTGAGGTATTGACACCTGAAGAAGGCTCCACAGCTGAAACGCTGTGTTTCTTTTCTTCTCTTTTCAGATTGGAATAGACCTTTTCTTGTTCCTCTGCTACCTAGCTACAATCTGGTCTTTCCAGGTGATCTGGAACAAAGAGCTCTTGCCTCTGATATTTTCCTGTTCTGTATCTGCCTGATACAGAGTCATATACTGTCTTCCCAGACACTTAATCATTTACACAGAACGTAATAAGCTGAGGTAAACATTACGATTGCTTTGATCACTGTATCTGACCTTCTACATCTTTGTCAAACATCCCTTTGATTTGAAGCTGGAGATGTTGACAGATTTGTAGAGACACTTCCTAGTCACCTATAGCTGTAATAACATTATAGAGTTCTGTCTGACTTTTACTGTATGTAAAGTTTTAACTTCTAGCATGCAGGATAGAAATAAAATAAATCCTTAAGTTTAATTCTTAAATTACGTGGTCTGAGAACTGGAGTAAAATTTGCAACAGTATTGCAAACTACTGAACAGATAATGCCTTTTAAAATTTCAATCAATTTCAGAGATTGCAACATGTCACTCAAAAGATTTGCTTGCAGCACTTACTGTACAGTAAGTGAGCATTTTCACTTTACAAATATCCTTAACTATAGAAGAATCATTTAAATCATTTGCCTTTTTCTACCACAATCATGTTTTATGACTTTCAAATGACTTTTAAATGAACAAATTTCTGTTCCAATTCAGACAATAAAGATATTTTTATGAAATGCTTGGTAGGATACATGGTGGCACAATGGTTAACATTGTTGCCTCTCTGTGCTGGGGTCTTGGGGTCAATTCTGGACCTGGGGTGCTCTCTGTATGGAGTTTGTATGTTCTCCCCGTGTGCACATGGATTTCCTCTGGGCAGTCAGTCTACTCCCAAAGTCCAAAGACACGCTGCTTTGTTATTTGGCTCCTGGGAAAATGACCCTATTGTGACTGTGTTTGTGTCAGTCCACCCTGAGATGGACTGGCATGCTGTCCAGGGTGTATCCTGCCATGTGCTC